GGTCTGGGACAGTTGGGAATTATAGAGCTACAGCTTTTCACTGCACTTTGTCTCCAAGGAAGATGCCTCTGTCACTCAGGCATCACTAGCCAATCATGGCCTCCCGATGGACTTCCAGTCAGAATGTGGGCGCGTACTTCCGATCCCCCTTGGTGAAGGCTCCTGCGGCTCTGAGTTTGGGGAAGGGAGATCCTGGTGTTCTGTGTGCTGCGCTGTGACCCGCTGCCGGGACCTGTGAGGGGAGCGGGGCGAGTTCGGAATCCGCCATGGTGAGCGAGGGGCCGCCTTCCCCATATGGGGAGGAGTCGCGGGAGCCGGTGTGGGGTGCTGGGGCTGTGGGAAACAGCCGCCCAACACAGTGCGGTCACATAAGGGCCATGCCACTTCCGGAAGCTGGGCGGGAACCAGCGGACCAAGTAATTACTTGGCGTCCCCCGGTGCGCAGGCGCAGAGCATGGGAGGCGGGAAACCTTGTGTGGAAACATCCTTGTTGCCAAAGTTATGGTGCAGGGAGCGTGTATGCGCTGTTTTTACTGTCTCCACCGAAGGCAGATTTGCTAACTCTCAGAGTCCTGGTGTCTCTAGTGTTTTCTAGAAGTTCTGCACTTGTCACTGAACATTCAGGTGTAGGTAGATCTGTCCGCAGTTAATTGTGTGCAGGGTGTAAATTCTGTATCAGTAACACATTTGCATGTAGATGCCAGGGTGGTCCAGTCACGTGTGTCAGTAAGGCCATTCTTTCTGGGTTTCCTGGCCTCCTGTGTCACAATTAACTCCATATTAATTGGGTTTTCATTTCTAAGTTTGCTCCCCTGTTCTGTTGATCTCTTAATTCTTTCCCAGACAGTACAGTCTTCATTGCAGCTGTATGAGAAGTTTTAAATTTAGATGGTGTCAGAGTGTGTGCCGTTTATTTAACTAATCTTATGTTGATCATTTTTCCATTCATGATGACCTTTGTCATCAATTTTCTGTTGTTGGTATGAAAAATTGTTGGACTTTTTAACTGTACTGTTGCTGAATCTGTAGCTCAATTTTGTACTGAAATGATATTGAGGCTTCCTGTCCGCAATCCTGGAATTTCTCTCCTTTTATTTAGTTCGTTGATTCTTTTTATTACAAATTTATAGCTTTGCCTACAGATATTAGTCACATTTCAATGTATTTCTGGCTGTTTTATCCATGGTGACATAAAAGTGATATGTGGATATGGTTTTATTTGTTTATTTAATTTTTTAGATGGGGTTTCTCTGTGTAACCTTGGTTGTCTTAGAACATTGTGTAGACCAGGCTGTTCTCGAACCCAGAGATGCACCTGCCTCTGCCTCTGGGATTAATGGTGTGTGCCACTGCTCCCAGCACGGGTGTGTATTTTTAATTAGCGCTGTTTATTTATTTTATCCTATGTGTGTAACTGTTTTGCTTGCATAAATGTATGTTCATCGTGTGTGTGTTTGGTGCCCACAGAAGGTAGTAGGGGGCATCAGATCCTCTGCAAGAGGATTTAGTGATGATTGTGTGCCACCAGGTTAGTGCTGGGACCAAACCCAGGACTTCTACAAGAGCAGTAAGTAGTGGTAACTGCTGAGCCATCTCTCCAGTCCTAAACTTGACAGATTTTCAAAACTTTATGTGTGTGTGCACATGTACATGCTGAAAAGCAAGTGTTAAGAGAGTTGATGTTTGCTTAATAATCTGTCTTTGGGGGCTGTGAGATGACTCAGTAGGTATGCTGGTTAGCCTTGGTCAGCTTGACACAAGGTAGAGTCACACTGGTCTGTAGGTAAACCTATAGGGTATTTTCTTGATTAGTGGTTGATGTAATAGGGCCCATCCCACTGTGGTTGGTGCCACCCTGGGCAGGTGGTCCTGAGTTCTATAAGGAATCAAACTGAGCAAGCCATGTTAGCAGGAGGGCAGTAATCAGCATTTCTCCAGATTGAGAGTATATGTGGAGTGCATAAGCCTATTGTATGTACAAGTTGGCAAATCTGTTCCTAGCCAGCTGCTCTTTGTGTGTTAGGTAGAGCTGGAGACTTTCTATTCCTAAGGAGAGTTTTCTCAATTAATCTCTAAGGGTGTGATATGATTTCTCATTGGGAAGGCACATTAATTCCAAAATAGTTACACCTTCCAGCTTTCAGAACAATATTTTAAGATAAGGTTTGTTATGTTGACTCTCTTTGCCTTGGTCCCAGTGTTTAGGCCCACAGGGCAATGATGCTGCTGTCCTCGGGACTCATCCTCCTCAATTCTTGATTAAAGGTTTGCAGCAGCACACACTTTGTTTTCTTTTTTTTCCCCCTTAGACAGAGTTTCTCTGTGTAGCCTGGGCTGTTCTGGAACTCACAGTGTAGACCAGGCTGGCCTCGAACTCACAGAGATTCACCTGCCTGTGCCTCCTGAGTGCTGAGATTAAAGGCATGTGCCACCACCACCCTGCAAGTAACACACACTTCTAAAAGTAACTACCCATTGGAGTCATGGCTGTCCATTGCACTAACAGAAATAGGATTTGTGTGTGGAGCATGGCTTCTCCATTGAGACCAGAGGAGAAGGAGTAGTTTATTGTGTATACCACAGGGGGAAACAGACTAGGCCATAGCTAGATTGGAGATTGTTTAAGTCAGTGAGCTGCAGGTGTCTCTGTTATAAAAAAGGACATGATTGGGCAGGTGAGTGCCTTTCTGTGTAGTTTCCCAGTATGCATTAACTCATTCCATGTGAATGAAGGAAAACCAAATTGGTGGATGTACAGTTTGGGGAGGTTAGCCTGAGCCACTCAAATTTCTGATTGGACAACTCTCTCATGGTGGTAACTGTAAATCTGTTTGTCTCACTTCAATCAGGTGAGAGGATTAAGACACTGGGCATTTGGCTGTGGCTTGTGTATGAGCATACAGCACTCAGCAGCTAACATTTCACACAGGGCATGGTCATACAGTCCCTCTCTCTCTTTTTTTTGAGCTGAGGCTTGAAACCATGGCCTTGAGCTTGCTAGGCAAGTGCTTAACCACTGAGCTAAATCCTCAACTCCCATACAGTCTCCTATAAATGTGGACCCGAGTTCTGTGCAGGATGATGAGTATGGCCCCAAGTTTTGTGCATGATGATGAGTATAGATCTATTTGCAGTGTTCTTCTTCTTCTTCTTCTTCTTCTTCTTCTTCTTCTTCTTCTGCTTCTTCTTTTTCTTCTTCTTTTTCTTTTTAAGATTTATTTATTTATTTATTATGTATACAGTGTTCTGTTTGCATGTATCCCTGCAGTCCAGAAGAGGGAGCCAGATCTTATTACAGATGGTTGTGAGCCACCATATGGGTGCTGGGAATTGAACTCAAGACCTCTGGAAGAATAGCCAGTGTTCTTAACCTCTGAGCCATCTCTCCAGCCCTATTTGCATTCTTCTACATGCAGACATCCAGTTTGACCAGCACCATTTGTTGAACATGCTGTTTTCCAGTGTGTATTCCTGGCTTCTTTATCAAAACCCAGGTGTCCATAGGAGTGTAGATTTATGCCTGGGTCTTCATTTTTTTTTTTTTTTGGTTTTTCGAGACAGGGTTTCTCTGTGTAGCTTTGCGCCTTTCCTGGAACTCGCTTTGGAGACCAGGCTGGCCTCGAACTCACAGAGATCCGCCTGGCTCTGCCTCCCGAGTGCTGGGATTAAAGGCGTGCGCCACCACCGCCCGGCTTTTGGGTCTTCATTTTTATTTCTCTGATGGATGCGTTGGTTTTTATGCCAGTCCCATGTGGTTTTTATCACTATACCTCTGTAGTACAGCAGTGTAGAATGGTGAAACCTCCAGCAGTTCTTTTATTGTTCAGAATTGCTTTAGCTATGCTGGGTTTTTTTTTTTTTCTATCTGATGTTGAGGATTGTCCTTTTGAGGTCTGTAAAGATTGTGTTGGGATTTTGATGGGGATTGCATTGAGCAAGCAGATTGCTTTTGGTAGGATTGCCATTTTTGCTATGTTAATCCTATCGATCTATGAGTGTGGGTGATGTTTCCATCTTTTCATATCTTCTTCAGGTTCTTTCTTCAAAGGCTTGAAGTTTTATGATACAAGCCTTTCACTTGCTTCGTTTGAGTAACCCCAAGATATTTTATATAATTCGAGGCAGTTTTGAAAGGTGTCCTTCCCGTTTTCTTTCTTATTTCCTTTGTCATTTGTACATAGGAGAGCTGTTTATTTTTGTGAGATAATTGTATATCCAGCTACTTTGCTGAAAGTGTTTTTCAGCCATAGGAGTTCCTCTGTGGAATATTTTGGGCCACTTACATACACTATCACATCATCTACAAATAAATATTCTTTGACTTCTTTCTTTCCAGTTTCTATACCCTAGATCTCCTTCAGTTGTCTTATTGCTTTAGCTAAGACTTCCAGATCTGTATTGAATAGACATGGTGAGAGCAGACAGCATTGTCTTGTTCCTGATTTTAGGTGAATAACTTTGAGTTTCTCTCCATTTAATTTGATGATGGCTATAGGCTTGCTGGAAATTGCCTTAATTAGACATTCAAGAGAAGAGACAGCATTGGCTTAGTACTTTATGCCTTATCTGTAATTTTTTTTTTTTTTTTGTTTTTTCAAGACAGGGTTTCTCTCTGTAGTTTTGGTACCTGTCCTTGATCTCATTCTGTAGACCAGGCTGGCCTTGAACTCACAGAGATCTGCCTGGCTCTGCCTCCCCAGTGATGGGATTAAAGGCGTGTGCCACCACTGCCCTGCTCAATTTTTTTTTTTTAAACTAGAAGTTGGGCATTTTCCTGCTGTGCCGTATTCTATTCTTTAGGCACTGGAATGGAAGGTGTCATTCTCTTTTGATGTTTCTTTTTAAAATGAGTTGGTGACTGCATTTGAAATTTACTGACCAATGTCATTGAATGTTTTGAGCACACAGAATTATATAAATATATTCTCAATGAAGTGTACATTTGCAATTCAGTCTCATCATTTCAATTAAGAACATATATATGGGATATTTTAGGATGCAGTGACCTATGAGGATGTGCATGTGAACTTCACTCATGAAGAGTGGGCTTTGCTGGATTCTTCCCAGAAGAGTCTCTACAAAGATGTGATGCTGGAAACCTACTGGAACCTCACTTGTATAGGTAAGTATATGAGCTTTCTGTCACTTTTTAGCTTAAGGGGACAAGCTTTTTTCTTTGGATTGGTGCTCTTCTGTGATTTCACATATGAAAGGGGGAGAATCTGGTGAATAAATCAGGCATGGTAGTAACTTTGATGAAAGATAGTAATTTCAAGTGTGCCTAATTTCCAGTAATATATCACATACATTTTCTGGTACTGTATTTTAGGTTACAAATGGGAAGACCATAATATTGAAGAACACTGTCAGTGCTGTAGAAGAATTGGAAGGTAATTTTCATGTGCAAGCTTGTATGTATGTATGTCTGTGATAAATATCAGATTCCCAGTTGCTGGCTTCCTCCATCACTGATGCAATAAGTCAAATCAAACCAAATTAGTAAATCCAGATTTAAAAAACAGAGCATAGCAAAGCAAAGCACTCCAGGGTCTCTCAGGAAGGCATGAGACAGAATAGGAGAGCACCCCTGGCAGATCTATGGGCCGGGTCTTAAATAGCCAGTAGGCATGGGTATGGTCCCAGACATCCCTAGGGGGAGGAGCCGCTAGTAGTGGGCTTTGTGGAATGGGCCTCCCTGAACTGGAGATTCCAAACTTCAACCTTTTTGGGTCTATATGGGTGCAGGTTCAAGTCTCTATTTCCTGCTGACATGGGATGATGTGGGGAGGGAGTGGGTAGGATTTGTATAGGCCCATGCTCAGCAGGGGTTATGGGTGGAGCAGCATTTGGAAAGCTGCCATCCAGGAGACCTCAGGAATCTGTTTTTTTTTTCCTGACACATGGTTTCTCTGTGTAGCTTTGGTACCTTTCTGGGAACTCACTGTGTAGCCAGACTGGCCTTGAATTCACAGAGGTCTGCCTGCCTCTGCCTCCTGAGTGCTGGGATTAAAGGTGTGTGCCACCACCTCCAGGCACACAATCTGTTCTTGAGGAGACAGAATGCAGGGTGCTAGGAGAAAAAAATAGATTATTGTTATCACTGGTCCTCTGAATGGGGCTACCCATTGGTAGTAGGAAGACTGCCAGAAAGAATGGAACTGAAAAGTTTCCTGGTTGTACAAAAGAGTCAAGGGTGAATGAGTGAAGCATGAGGGCAGATATGCCCTTAATTGGGACATCTTGGAAATCTAGGTTTCAGTTGCTGGTTAGTTGCCCACTTATGCCTAGAGAGGTGGTATCAGCAGTGAAATCCCAGGAGCTTGAGGAGACGACATGGCAAATCTAGGGATGATGTGTTCCAGGAGTACTGGAGCCATAGCATCTGCTGTTTCCCTGGAGTTGAGAGAACATCCATCCTGTGAATGTGTCTTAAGAGTTAAGAGATATGGATCTTTTTATGAGTGGGCAGTTGGGTGAAATCAACTTGTTATTATTCCTCCAGTTGGTGCACTTGCTTGGTTTGCATTTGGAGCTGTTGCAGGGGCTGGTGTATGTGGAGGGCCCTGCCGGTTTGGCCTTGGTCAGGCAGTAAGAATATGCTCAAAATGGGTGCGGTCAAAAATAGGCTCTGGAAACTGATATTAGTTTCCATCAGGCCAGACTTCTTTACAAAGCATCAGAACCATTTTCCTAGGAACTTTCAGATGTATGTAAAACTACTGGAACAGATTTATATCTTGGTGTCATGGTAAAAATCTATGGCCGTGGGTTAAGGCATGAACAGTTTTAAGTCTAAATTCACTGACAGTGGAGGTTGGGTGAGTGAAGGAGGAGGGAGTTGAACATGCCTGCAGGGTTCTATATCCTCTCTAATGCTAACCTATCTCTAAAAGCTGGACCAGTAAAATCCACCGACCTTAGCCAAAATTGCACCTGCCCAGGTAGCTGGCTGCCTGTAATTAGAGTAGTGGTAGACCACGTGATGTTCTCCAGCACAGTTTCAATCTGGAGTCACAAGCCTTACAGGTTTTAAAACATCCAATTAGCAAGACACATTCAGAACATATAAACTCAGGCATTCAAAACCTGTCAGAGACACACATATGTGGCCACACCATTCACACATTTCCACCAACACATTTAAGGACAAGACAAGGAAACATGCCACAACAGATGTGACAGGTTCAATCTTAGCCATGTGTGAGGACTGTCCATCCACTTACTGTCATGCCTTCCATTTATCATATAAGGTATACACAATGATGAGGAGATTGGGTATGTCCAAGACCTTTTATAAGTAAAGCTTCCTTATTAAAGCTAGTGTTCTTCATTTTCTTGTAGTGATTGATTTAACATAGTTTAATGAGAGGAGCACTTTATGAGTGACTTGGAGATGTAGAAACATGAATCTCTATTCCACATCTGTATGACAAACAAAACATTTGACTATGGGAATGCAATGTGAAAACCCTTTGTTATTTTCCTTTAGCAGGTGTGTCATCTGTCCCTCTGGACACAATCCATGTGAGCATAAGGGATATGGAAAGAAGCATTGTAGTTCTGTCTCTCTCAGAACAAGTGGAAGGTATATGGTAGTCCCCACTATGAGAAGACATGATGACTGTGATACAAGTTTACAATTAACTGGTTTTCCAACTTCAGTGGGAATTCATCAACAAACTTCCATTGGAAAAAAACCTTATGAGTACCAGGAATATGGAAATACATCTCTCTCTTTGGGTTCACTGTGTATATGTAGTGAGGCTCTCAGTATAAGAAAATGTTATAAATACAATCAGTGTGGTCCAACTCTTAGTTCTTCAAGTTCTCTTCAAGGATGTGAAAAAACTCATATGTTAAGAGAAAATAATAAATGTGAGTCATCTACCAAAGGCTTTAGCCATTACAGGCATCTTCAAACACACCAAATACCCAATAATGAAGAGAATCTATATGAATATAATCAATGCGATAAAGTCTTTAGATGTGATTGGTCGTTAAAACACCAAAGAACACATTTGGAAGGAAAACCCTGTGATTATAATCAAAGATATAAAGACTTTGCATGTCACAGTCTTCATCAAGTACATAGAATTCAAACTAGGGAGAAAAGGTATGAATCTCAGCAATGTGATAAAGCCTTTGCATGTCCCATAATACATAATAGAAGTTACACTGGAGAGAAACCCTATGAATGTAATCACTGTGGTAAAGCCTTTGCAGAGAACAGAAGCCTTCATAGTCATGTAAGGTTTCATACTGTAGAGAAACCCTATAAATGCAATCAGTGTGGTAAAGCCTTTAGAGGGAACAATCATCTTCTCCGTCATGAAAGAATTCATACTGGAAAGAAACCCTATGAATGTCATGAATGTGGTAAAGCTTTTGCACAAAAGAGTTATCTTCTCATTCATGAAAGAGTTCATAATGGAGAGAAACCTTATGCATGTAATCAATGTGGTAAAGCCTTTCCATATAATAGTCATCTTCTCACTCACTTAAAAATTCATACTGGAGAGAAACCGTATGAATGTAATCAATGTGGCAAACGCTTTGCACAGAAGAGTCATCTTCTCAGTCATGAAAGAATTCATACCGGAGAGAAACCCTATGAATGTAATCAGTGTGGTAAAGCCTTTGCACAAAAGAGTCATCTTCTCAGTCATGTAAGAATACATACTGGAGAGAAACCCTATGAATGTAATCAATGTGGTAAAGCCTTTGCAGGGAAGAGAAATCTTCACAAACATGAAATAATACATACTGGAGAGAAACCCTATGAATGTATTGAATGTGGTAAAGCCTTTGCAGAGAAGAGAGATCTTCACAGACATGAAATAATTCATACTGGAGAGAAACCCTATGAATGTAATGAATGTGGTAAAACCTTTGCACAGAAGAGTCATCTTCATACTCATGCAAGTCTTCATACTGGAGAGAAACCCTATGAATGTAATCAATGTGGTAAAGCCTTTGCATTGAAGAGTTATCTTCTCAGTCATGTAAGAATACATACTGGAGAGAAACCCTATGAATGTAATGAATGTGGTAAAGCCTTTGCAGTGAAGACAAATCTTCACAGACATAAAATAATTCATACTGGAGAGAAACCCTATGAATGTAATCAATGTGGTAAAGCCTTTGCATGGAAGAGTCTTCTTCACAGACATGAAATAATACATACTGGAGAGAAACCCTATGAATGTAATGAATGTGGTAAAACCTTTGTACAGAAGAGTCATCTTCATGCTCATGCAAGTCTTCATACTGGAGAGAAACCCTATGAATGTAATCAATGTGGTAAAGCCTTTGCATTGAAGAGTCATCTTCTCAGTCATGAAAGAATTCATAATGGTGAGAAACCCTATGAATGTAATCAATGTGGTAAAGCCTTTGCATTGAAGGGTCATCTTCACAGTCATGAAAGAATTCATAATGGTGAGAAACCCTATGAATGTAATGAATGTAGTAAAACCTTTGCAGAGAAGAGAAATCTTCACAGACATAAAATAATTCATACTGGAGAGAAACCCTATGAATGTAATCAATGTGGTAAAAAGCCTTTGCAGAGAAGAGAAATCTTCACAGACATGAAATAATACATACTGAACCCTACATACTGAAATAATACATAGGAACCCTAACTAGGATGAGTTAGGACCAGGATTGTGGGGTATTGCTGTGACAAACCTGCCAGTGTTTTTGGAGGTGTTGTGGCAAGACTTTGGAACTAAGAGCATGGTCGGATGTTCTGTGGGTGCTTGGGAGACAAGAATGTTGAGAGCAGTACCAAGTTTGGGGGCCTGGCTTGTGACATTTCAGAGGGAAGTACCTATCAGGGCCATTTGTTATTTTGAATTAAGATCCTGTGGTTCCCGGTTAGCTGGGGTTGAAGAATCAGCTGTGACTAACAAGGGACCAGAACTACTAAAGTGAAACTTTGCTTTGCTGGGATACTTGATGCTGGTCAGCTCGAGCTAAGAAATTATCGGTGACTAAGAAGAGAGCTGAATCACTGAGGGAAAATCTTCTGGGAAGTGTTTCCTGAGAGGACAGAGAAGCTGTGTTCCAGAAGCAGCAAAATGGTACCCTGTGCTGGCAGCAGGACTTGGTAATGTGTCAAAGTCACCCAGGTGGTGACTTGAAGGGGTCCTGGGGAACAGCTGAGAGGTTTGGCACTGTGAGAGGCCAGGAAAGGTCATTGATAAAGGTGCTGCCTCAAAGCTGTTGAGGCACAGGATCGAAGGGGGTCATACAAAGAAGCTGAGGCTTGGCACCATGAGGAGAGCCTATGAGAGGCTATTGGTGAAAGTGCAGCCCAGTTGCAGAGAGGACCCCAGCATTTTGGAGATGCCAGTACAATGGGATGACCACTAAGAACAGCAGCAGCTGTGGAGTGCAGCCAGCTGGAGCCTGGAAGACAAGCTGTGTGTGCTACAGAGGGCAGAGCTGGGGAAGTGACCCAGACATTTGGAGGAGTCCAGAAGATAGTGAGTGGATCCCAGCCATTGGACATTTGGAATTTTGTTTTGCTTTGATTTGATTGTGACAGTGCCCTGATTTCTCCCTCTTGAAGTAAAACAGTATTTTACTGGAGCTCACAGTTGAGAGACTTTGGATTTTTAAGGGACTCAAATTTTTTTTTTTTTTTTTTTTTTTTTTGTTTTTCGAGACAGGGTTTCTCTGTAGCTTTGCGCCTTTCCTTGAACTCGCTTTGGAGACCAGGCTGGCCTCGAACTCACAGAGATCCGCCTGACTCTGCCTCCCGAGTGCTGGGATTAAAGGCGTGCGCCACCACCGCCCGGTGGGACTCAAATTTTAATGTGTTTGAATTTGTAAAGACTGTGGGACTTTTAAAGTTATTTATATTTTTAATGTGACGTCTTGGGGATGAATAAGAAAGGAGGTATTGTGGCTTTAAAAGTGACGTATTTATGTGTCAGGTTGACAAGGGGTCAAGTTGACAAGTTGTACTGGCTGGCTTTGTATGTCAACTTGGCAGAAGCTAAAGCCATCAGAGAGGAAGGTGCCTCAGTGAGGAAATGGTGAGGAAATGCCTCCATGAGATCCAGCTGTAAGACATTTTCTCAATTAGTGATCAATGGGGGAAGGCCAAGTCCACTGTGAGTGGTGCCATCCCTGGGCTGCTAGCCCTGGGTTGTATAAGAAAGCAGGATGAGCAAGCCAGTAAGCAGCACCCTCCATGGCCTCTGCATCAGCTTCTGCCTCCAGGATCCTGCCCTGTGGGAGTTTCTGTTCTGACTTCCTCCAATGAGGGAGTATGATCTGGAAGTATAAACCAAATAAACCCTTTTCTCCCCAAATTGCCTTTTGGTCATAGTGTTTTGTTGCAGCAATAGAAACCCTAACTAAGACAGCAAGGTCCCAGGCTGGGCCCCCAGTGCATGATGAGTCCTGTACATACTCTGGGGTCTGGGAAGGTTGTCTCTGAGGCTTTGATCTGCAGAAGTGAAGCATGAGACTGAACGGCTGAGCTGTGTTCTCAGAGGCCCTGAGCCTGCATCTGCTGCATCTGCAGGATCTGGCTGAGAATGCACTGCACATCCTCATCCCTGAGGTAAGATGGTACGGGACACAGGCAGAGCTGAGAGAATGAGAGAAGAGAGAGAAGCAAGGAGGGAGAAAGAGAAGGAGACACCCAGGGCCAGTCAGCCAGCCACCAGCCTGCCAGCCACCGAGGAAGAGTGAAAATAGGGCATACAGAATGAAAGATAAAAAGCTCTGACAGCTTAAGTTAAGTCATAAGAGCGAGTGGGACAAGCATAAAATAAGGCCTGAGCGTTCATAACTAATAATCTGTGTGTCATGATGTGGGAGCTGGTTGTTGGCTCAAAATAAAGCCTGCGACACCTCTGTGCTCCCAACATGCAGCCATTCTATAATCAGCATTAGCATGTGACTCCACCTGTTATTTTCCAAGTTGAGGTACAAATGAGTAGTCTTGGGAAACTAGATTATGTGATCCATAAATCCTATCATATGCCAGATCGAACATTATTGCCCCGGCCAGCAGGGCTTCAAGGGGTACTCGACCACCCTAAGGAGGGAATGTAGGGACAGGAGATACAAAGGAAATACACCAAGTCTAGATTCTGATCAACGTGCAACTTTATTTTTCTTCCGGAGGGTTTATATAGTTCCTGCAGGGTGGGGGGAGCAAGAAGCTGTTATTTGCATAGGGTGGGGCAAGTTAACAGGATGTTTTTATAGGATTTTTACAGGGTGAAAGGGTCAAGGCCTCTGACTCAATGTCCTGTTGCTAGGCAACCTGACTGTAAGATGATCTAGTTCTCTGTCTTATCGGGGGTCTGTATTTTCCCATTAACTAGAGATTCTGTCCTTGTCCCTGACACATTATTGAGGACTAAGGGGGTCCAACCCCTTTATAGTTCCCTCCCAGATTCCCGAAAGAATCTACAGCCAGCTGATAATTCATCTTTGATGAAAGGAAATGAATCTATGTACATGAAGCTTCTTAGTCCAGACACTTTATTATTCTGTGTCAGTTCTCTCTCTACAAGCTTCTGTTTTCTTTTAGCTCCTTTCTTGCCAGATTTCTCTCTATATTCATCTATTGCTCCCTCTAAGTTCTATCTTAATTCTCTCATCTTAATTCTGCCTCATCTAGGTCCTTTTCAATTCGTTCTTACCTAGCTAGTACTTCCCCATCTGACTCTTCCTCATCTTCCATCTGTCCACACGTTCTCTCTGTCAAAATCCTCTTTATCCCTCTCTGTTCTCTGTCTCTCAGTTCTCCACGTCCCCCCTAAATCTCCCAGGAATCCAGTTATAAACCCAAGCCACAGCAATCCCCTGTTGAGCAAGGTCACCAGGCCTGAATTCTACGGGGTCATCAAGGCAGGTAAGAATACTCCTCAGGCAGTGACCACCAGGCTTTCTTTTACAACCCAAAATGGGAGTGGCAAAAGAGGAGGTCAACTGAGTGCTAATGACCAGTTAGTATATCCCAAAGGGGATCTACGTGCTTAGTTCACATTCCTAGAAGTGGTTAGGTAAGAAGTTAGGGGTCTATTAGTAAGGTTGTAAAAGAAAGGAGGGTCTCACCCTAAATTGCACAAGAAATAAAGCTATCTGCCTGACCTAAGAGACAGGTGTAGTTTCATTCAGCCTTGGATGATTGGTAGGCGTTTTATTTAAATACACTGTTAGGAGTTCTTTGGAAGCACACAAGTAAATAATTTTAGGAACGGGCATATATATATATGAAAGCTAAAATATCACCAAGACTTCTTAAGTCATGGCTTGATCTTTGGAGAAGCCCTGGAGTTTTCAAAGTAGTAGCTTTTGTAGTAGTAGCTGAATTCCATTACGTTTTCCTGCAGCGTGCAGCAGAACTTGCCATTCAAGTGTTAATGTGGCTTGCATGAAACTTCAGTGGAAGGCCTGTAGACAGGATGTAGATGTATCCAACCTTCTTATTAAATAAGAAACACAGAACCAATGCAAAGAAGAAAGCCAAGAGGTCAGAGCTAAGAGCTAAAACCTTACCCTTCCTCCTGCAGTGGTCCTACCTCTCCGAACCAGAGCTACCCCTGTGTTAAAGTCTTTATATAGAGTTCCTGTCCTGCCTTCTCATTGGTTGTAAACCCAACCACATGACCGCCTCCTCACAGCCTGTCTGTATAGGCCTCCAGGTTTTCCATGATTGGTATTAAGATTAAAGGCATGTGTATCCAATAATGGCTGTATCCCTGAACACACAGAGACTTACCCAGCTCTGCCTACCAAGTGCTGGAATTACAAGCATACGCTACCACTGCCCTGCTTTCCTATGGCTTGCTAATAGCTCTGACCCCCGGGCAACTTTATTTATTAACATACAAATAACATTTTAATACAAATAAAATATCACCATATTTCCCCTTTTCTATTTTAATAAAAAGGGAAAAAAAGAAAAAGCTTATAACTAATATAAGAAAAACTATATACAAAAGGACAATAACTATATACAATATATACAAGTAATAAATACCTAAACAATGTCTAGTCCATTTGTATGTGACAAATTCAGAGAAAATAATTTCATTATCTATCCTGTTTTGGTAAGTCCAAAATGTATCCTAATTAATCTTCAACTATAACTAACTAACCTTCAACTATAACTAACTAATCTTCAACTCCCTCAGAGACCCAAGAAGGAAATAATATTAGCTAACAAAAATAAAAACAGGAAGTGCACATAAGCAACTTCCAAAAAATTTGTGAGTTGACAGAAACAGACAGCTGTCTGGACAGTCACCTGAAGTTTCTCCGAAGTGCTGGGGCATCATCTTCAGCCTATAGGCTTAGCATATCTGACAGACTCATTTGTGAAGTAGGATGTACACAAGGTCATCAGTTCAACCTCACATTGAGTGAGAGTAGTCCATGTACCAGAAACACCTGAATTCCACTAGTGTCATGTCATGATTCAGGATTTTAAATTCTGGAAATTGTTGATGGTTTTTTAATTCAGCTGTCTATTCTTCTTGGCTGTGTATATATGGCTTCATCTCAGCATCCCATTCTTCTCCATATCCCTTTATCAAATGCCAGTCTACTATTGAGAGGCGTGAGCTTAGTTACTCTTCAAGAATAACTGTTTCAGCTGCTGTTTCATTGCACATCAGAGGCCATCGGCCCACTGCCTGTTCAGCTGCCTTTGAAGAAAAGGGCACTGTACCTTTTTCGAATTGCGAAGGCCACTTCAGGGACGGTGCCATATTGTCCTGGCCTCTGAAGATGCCTTTTGATAAAGCCATAACCACACTTGTTTTGGCAAGAATCAGTAATCCTTTGTTTTATGTCCTGTCTGTCCATTTTGTCCTGTTGATTCGAGGATACTTTGTTGTCCAGTGGCTAACTTTTGCCACAATGAAAGTTAACTCCATATGCAGTTTCTTCAATGCCCATATTTTCTCTGAAGTAGATTGGTACTGCCAGGAGCCGACATGTCTCATAGTCATAACAAAAAAAGAAAAATTTTCTAAGTTATTAAAACATTTTAAATGCCATATTCTGTAGATCTCTGAAGGGTTTGAAGATAACCTGTCTATCTAAAATATATCTACTCAATCTTGAAAACATACCTAATATAACTACAAGTTCTATTATAATATCTAACTACTAACTTTCATTTCTTTATATCCTAATAGTTGGTAATAACATTCAAGGATCAGAAAATTGAATTACATTGTTAGATGAATGGTACAATTAGAAAAATATATATAACATTTTCTAACAATATCAATTTCAATATATATAATTTGTATACAATATAAAACAATCCAATCCAATGTAAAGTATTTAAAACTAGTAATTGTCTTTTTCTTCTTCTTTCTTTCTCTTTTTTTTTAAAACAAGAACCTTAAATCTAATCTCCTTTGCTTAGCCTTTTTCCTAACCCTTGACAACAACTTGTAACCAACCCCCCTAATCAATGAAAATTATCCCAGACCCAAAACCCATTAAAAGACCAAAAAAACCAACTGCCCCACACCACCTCTTTGGGAATGTGGGCGTCGTATTCTTGAAATTGCTTCCTGCTGGGTATGGGCGAAGGTATCTTTATCCTGAAAGAAAAATTTTAGGTTAATTGTCAAATTCTAGGAAAGGTAAATATATCCTTCATTATCCAGTCTGTGTATAATGCCAAAATTCAGGGTTTATCTCAAATCCTTATTCAAGTAGTCTTTGAGACTGGATCATCTCAGCTAGCTCTTCTCAAAATTGCTCTGAGCACTTTGTAGTTCAAAGCTGATCTGTAGATGATGTTTGTCAGCTTAGTGATGTTATTATTGTCCACGTGGAATTGTTGTTGTGGGGCCCCATCTTCTTCCTGGAGACTTCAGTTGATGTTAGGCCTAACCGTGATTTCCTGCAAAAAACTGATAAGAGACTCGAACACAAAGACTATATATGCGACTTTTTAGAATTAGTTAGTACTCTATATGACCATTTATATCTTAACAAAGTTTAAAATGTATATATATCTATATATATTGATCTTGTAAATTTTGATATAAAATTCATACTTTAAGAAAAGTTTAAAGAATCAGAATAGAATCAAAGAGTTGAGATTCGTAATAGAATAGTCCCTTAATTAATATGGCTTTTCTCCTGTCCCATAGCAGAAGATGGCTCTTTTCTTCTGGCATGATACAGGGAGTTTGCATTTTCCTTTTAACAACATGCTTGAGTTTAAAGAAGGAGAGAGCCATTCTCCAACTCCAAAGTCAGCTTTAAATTTTAATTGAACTGGGACTATTAGAAGTTAAATAGTGTTAAATCTTTAAAGAAAAGCAGAAACAAACATTTAGGAAGACATAAAATTTTTTTAGATAACATACCCATATGCCATTTCACTCTGTTTCTTAGGATAGATGATTTGTTCCTTCTCTTCAGTTGTCTCATTTGTCCAGTGTTCTTCAAATTCCTTAACCTTCATTCTCCTAAAAGACAAAAACAAAAACCTTTCCTCAAGGTTTTTTGGGGATGTTCCTTTTTTACAAGTTATCTGATTAAATGAAAAGGCATGTGTTACTGATGTAAGTTAGTTTAAATTG